ATGACTCCTGATAAAGACATGACAATGACAGACAAATTATAGTGAATACATTTGCATATGAATAAGTTTTCTCTGCAGATAAAATTTGCTGGTATATTCTTTAAATTGTCGGACATAGAACAAGTAATCTCAAATAAATCCTAAATTTTGCACCTGAAGAGAGTTCAATAAATGATTATCAAATATACTAATTATAATATCACTGAAAATAATAAAATTTTAAGTAGAGAAAGACTTATTTTTGTAAGATGTTGAATTTGAGGTAACAATATGATTAGGATTAAATTTAAAGTAGGTATTAGGACTTGAGTAAAAAGTCAGAACTTGTACCATGTATGTAGAGATCTTGTTTATAGAAGTTTAAGAAATCCTGAATGTAAAGGGAGGAAAAAATCAGATATATAATTAAAGCTTGGAGAAAACTAAGATGATAGATGGGCAATAAAGAGAAAAATAAGTTAATGAAGATAAAAATGGAGACCTAAAACACAGTTTAAATCCAGCTTTATGTTATGTAGAAAGGGTCAATGATTTAGCAAGAAAGTGAACTTTACAGGAACATTTTATGTTACAATGGGTGTCAGTAGGCCCTAGGTATCAGATGTAATTTCTATTCTGTTTTCAAGTTTCTTGATGCTCTCTTTTGACATTTCATATCTGCTATTGAGCCCAGTTAGTATACTTTTCATTTTACTTATTTGTATTTTCTAGTATAGAATTACCTTTAATTCTTCATTTTATTTTATTTTATTTTATTTTGGATTTATTATACCTCTATGGAAAACAATATGGAGATATCTCAAAGAACTAAAAGTAGAATGACCATTTGATCCACCAATCCCACTACTGGGTATTTACTCAAAGGAAAAAAAAAAAAAGTCATTCTGTAAAAAAAGACATCTGCACTCAAATGTTTATAGCACAATTCACAATTGCAAAGATGTGGAAACAACCCAAATGCCCATCAATACATGAATGGATTAATAAAATGTGGTATATGTACACCATGGAGTACTACTCAACCATAAAAAAATGGTGAACTATATCTTGTATTATCCTGGTGGAGCTGGAGCCCATTCTTCTAAGTGAAGTATCACAAGAACGGAAAAACAAGTACCACATGTACTCACATTAAATTGGTACTAATTGATCAACACTTATGTGCACAGATGGAAGTAACATTCACTGAGTTCAAAGCAGCTGAGAGGAGGGAGGAGGAGATGGGTAAATTCACACCTAAAGGGTGTGGTACACGTTGTCTGAGGCTTGGGCATACTTGTATCTCTGACTCGGGTGGTGCAAAGGCAATTTATGTGAACAAAGAGCTTGTACCCCATAATATTCTGGAAAAAAATGATTACAATATGTCAAAATGTATACTGAGCTAAAAAGCTGTTTATGTAGAAATATATAGTTTTCAGTGATTATATTAGAAAGAAAGAAATACCTATATTCAATAATCTAAGGTTGAACCTCAAGAAGTTTGAAAAATAAAAGCAATTCAAAAACAAAGTAAGTGAAAGAGGAAAACAACAAAGACCAGATTAGAAATCAGTAAAGTAGAAAACAGAAAATAACAGTTGGTTCTTTGAAAAGACCAGCAAACTTGATATAATTTTAGCTAGACTTACTACAAAACAGAGAGAGGACACACATCATCAAAAGCAGGAATGGAAGAGGAAACATCTTACAGCACTACAGAAATTTTAACATGTCATAAGGGAATATTATGATGATTTATGCCAAAAAATTAGACTGCGTAGAAGGAATATAAAAATTTCTAAAAGGACATAAGTTACAAAAACTTGAGAATAACAAATAATGAGAAATCAAATTATAATTAAATGATTACCCACAAAAAAGCAAGGGCTCGCATAGCTAAGCTTGTACATTTTATCAAATATTTAAAGAGAAAATAATGTCAACCATACACAGACTGTTTCCATAAAGGGAGAGAGATGGAACATTTTCCATTTAATTCTGTGAAACTACTATTACCTAGAAAGCAAAGACAGGCAAAAACATCACAATAAATAAATTAATTAATAAAATAAACCGATATTTCTAACTTCAAAGGGTGGTAGATATAACCCTCTCTCTCCCTTAAAGTAGAGGAAAATGGAATATAGGTCAACTTTAATGATTTATTAACATTAATAATATTCACCACAAATATTTGAAAACTCTTTAGTTTTTCCTGATTATATTCATCTATAAAATTGAAATGTAAATATTTAATAACAATGATAAAAATAAATTGTAACACATACCAGTAGAAATATACTGCTAGAAATATACTCAGGTTGATTTAATAAGAGATTGATTTATTAATAATTTACAGATTATTAAAACAATGTTACCTGTAGAAGTCTCTAGAATCAGATTTGGAAAACTGATATAAACAAGGGAGGTGAGGGAGCAGATGAGGACATACTAGATATTATGTCACAGGAATAGTCGAGTAAGGATACCCCTGACAATAGATAACACCATGGCAGTTCGGTCATGGAGACCCTCAGAAATTGGTATGGTTGCCCTAATACTGCCACCTGCAGGAAAAAATTAATTCTATATACCAGCTTACTTTCAAATTCCACAGCTGGTCTATCAGGTAAACCAACTTTTGACTGCATACCCTCAGTTAAGAGTTCCTGAGACTAGGAAAGAAAATAACTTGTATTTTTAACTTCTATATTGAAAGGTGGTCTTTAACATTCATCAAAGACTCATTAAGTAGATAATTCTCCATATATAAAAGGTAGTTTAGATGATGAATTTTGCAAGGAAGCAAAAGACAAATTCCACTACATGTTCTTTCCGTAAGCAATTGCTAAAAACATATCACTGTTTTTTTCTTAAGTAATGTCTAAAATAATTTGTGAATATGAGAATTAATTTAGTTTATATTAATTTAATGAAACAGAAATGAGAGGTTTTTTTTAATGAATTCTGGATAATGCCCAATGTGTATAACACAGTTTTTGAAGGAAGAGGCATCAAAAAAAGTCAATTTTGTTAACACTGTAAAGTCATGTATAAACATGTTTTTTTTAATTTTTAAAAAATAGACATTATTTTTAGAGCGATTTTGGGTTTACAGGAAAACTGAGTAGAAAATACAAAGAGTTCCCATATATCACCTCTCCTCACCACCTCCAAAGTTTTCCCTATTATTAACATCTTGCATTAGTGGGGTATACATTATATTTGATGAGCCAATATTGATACAACATGTTTTAATTTTAAGGAAACAATGAAAATTTTGAACTCCCCTTGGTTCTCCAAGATAAGAGTAAAGCCACTATTGTCACATCAAAACGAAAATAAAAGCAAAAAGAATAAACATCTGCTTCATAGCATTAGGCAATATGTTGATTTTTTGCAGGTAATTAACAATTTCATATTCTGAAAATAATATTAGACTTAGTTGTATGCTGCATCAGTGACACATTTATAATGAAGTGAATTGTTTGCTTTATCTAAGTAATAACTGTGACATTGAGGTAGATGAATGTCTAAGTTATCTCTGTACAAATGGTAGCACTTGTGTTGCTCTTCACAGCACCTATAGCTGCCTGTCAGAGTGGATTTCAAGGCATGCATGCATGCTGACCAAAACTATGACCACTGAAGGTTAACTGAGATGAAAGCAACTTTTTATTTTTAGAAGATACAATTAATCTCATGGATGTGCACATTAATTTTTTCCAGGAGAATATCTGAATATGTAAATTGTGCTTAGATTATTTTACTATATATTTACATTGTCACAGAAATAGATATATTTAGTGTACAATGCATGTCTTTGCTTTTGTAAATGAACCGGGGTTTATGATTGTACCATTTGTTTCTCACAAAGTTGAACCATAAGAAAAATGACTCAATAAATATATTTAAGTTTTAGAAAGTATTCATTCACTCACATAATTATTTTTAATTTTCACTTTGTTCTTTATCTTAACTTGATGTTCTAATGTCAGATTTTCATGGAATAGTTTATAATCCATTTTGTTGATGATAATAGTAATGTTTTCTATTTAGTTAACTATGCTCATTCTTGTTTAGATTAATATTATGCATTTTTTCTTCTGCCCAGATTCATGCCACTGTTTTAGATAATTTAAGAATAAAAGGAATATTTCCATTCACATAATTTGTGAATAATTTGCATTACGCCAATGTCAATTTTTCTATACTTGTTATAAACTGGTAAGAAAATTAGCTGTCATAAGTCATAAGAATCAATTCAGTGTCAGTTTAGGCAATATTTTGCAACTCTTAGGAAATTAACAAATGATCTAAGTGGTATGATATGAAAAGTCAGCTTTAGCAACACAAGTTGTAGGTCAAACGTCAAAATCTGAATTGTAGAGCTAGTTAAAAAGAAAATGGTAAAACTATATAGTTAATAGACTTTTCTATTTTCTTTTCTGTCCATATAGGCTTACTTTGTGATATTAATAGAAAAACACGTGATTCATCACCCTGGCTCCATAACACTATATCCTCAGAGCTCATGGGTAGATTCAAATGTGTCTGTCTCCCTGGTTTTATTGGTAAACAGCATTTAACAACTGTGCCTTGTAAAGAACATTCAGCCCTTGGGGACATACATCAGGATGTTATTGATTCACCAGTATTTTCTTTTTGTTCCTTTTATATTTCCCTTAGCCTAACATTTGATTTGCATCTCAATAACCTGAAACATCTACACCATTTCTACACTCTCAAGCAGAAGATAAATTAGTTCACATCTAAGCAGACTTAGAATGCCTACAAACTCAGAGGAGATTAGTCTGCACTTAGTAACACTAAAGTTATTGCAGTTTGTAGGTGAAATAAATGGGTTCTGACACAAATATATGTGGCATTCTTATCTGATGAATTTAGTTTGAGATATCATCCTAAGTAGAGTAAAAGGCTTTGGCAAATTTAAGAATTGTAACCTGGCACTCGCTTACCTTATTAAAACTTAACATATTTTTTATTATTTTTCAAAGGCACAAGATGTGAACCAGATACAGATGAGTGTGCTTCACATCCTTGCAAGAATGGAGCCACCTGCATTAACCAACCTGGTAATTACTTCTGCCAATGCGCGCCTCCATTTAAAGGTAACGGACATCCGCGGGAGAAAGAAGAGCAAAATAATTAACTTTAAAAAGCATTTCTGTCTCTTATTGAACTTATTTCAGTCTTCCAACAACATTATTAGTCCCTCATTTTCTTAAAGTCAGCTTCTAAAGTGACCGACCAATTATCCCTTAGGCAGAGACCAGAGTGAAATGAGCTTTGTTTATATATCCACTAAAACAGTTGAGTTTCTTATTTTTCTATTAGAAAGGTCACCAGTGAAACCAAATGATACAATGAAAAGTAAGCAAGGAATATATTACCAACTTATCATATCATATTTGAAATATTTTTCCATATTATTTAATTTCTCATGAAATTGTCAAGGTTTTTTCTCTTTTTTCTTTCTAGTAATTTATTTAATTTTTAATGTAGCTATATTTAGCTCAACATGTCATAAGCCATTAACAGGTTCTTTTTATTTGATCTCAACTTTGACAATAATTCTTTAGATTCAGTTAAGGAATTGTATTTCTTTTCCCAAAAACTATTAATAAAAAAACCCATGCTTTGCTTGGATTCATATATAAGTACATATGAATTATTGTGCAAGCAAGCTGGTATACAGAAAGTGATTGGATGCTTCCAGGAACTTTGGTATCTTTTTCTAAGCTATAAAATTTGAAAACTGTTCAACCAAATATAATTGATTTAGATATTTTTAAAGTTTGTGCCTATTTACTTTAGAAAGTATCTTCTTATAATTACTTATCAAAAATATAAGATTGCATGCCCCACTTTAAGTATTTGATAGCCATTTGAACTTATTAAGGCATAGTTTCTTATCTGTTAAAGAAGATAAGAATATACCTACCTCATTGAATTAAGCGTAGATCAAATGAGAAATGTTATATAAATTGTACATTTTCTGCTCAAAATTAATAATTATCAAGTGTTTAATTATAATTTCAAATAATTTTCTAACATATATGTACTATTTATATAACAGGCAATGTTTTATCATGTTTGGGTAGACAGAATGTCAATACATATTTATATAATTATGCATCTTTAAAGATACATAAAGAATGGTCTAAATAATCCCCCAAAATAAAATATTAGACTTAATTTTAACAATAACAAAGTTTTTCCAGTGCCTAGATCTTGCTCTCTCATACTAGTCTTCAATCAGAAAAATCAGGGTTCCTTAGAGATCTCGTGGGTTCTAGGACTAGGGCAGAGAATGTATCATGAAGATTCTTGTAACGCCAGAAAGTAAGAAAATACTCAAGAAAACAAACATGAGAGGGAGGCAACTGAAGAAGCTTCCAATGACCAAAGTTAGAACAATTTGAGCAACCAAATAAAGTTTTAATTATTACCCAAAATATAAAATAAATATCTATGAGTCTATTCTGATAAAAATTCTGCACATCATCTATACTGAATAATTCCAAATAATTTTTGGAAATACTTAGCTCGTAAGGAGGTGGAACATAACTCCCCATCCGTTAAATTTGGGCAGCACATAGTTACTGTCTTCCAGTGAGTATCGCATGAAAATGAGGGGCATGGAGGGTAGAGTAACTTTACAGTGGAGAAATATGACTGTGATAATTACTACTTCAGCCACATGATTGAGGTTAACATTGACAGTAATAAGTCATGTACAATAACAAAAACGTTTCATTGTTTTTCTTTTTATTTGAGACAGAGTCTCACTTTGTTGCCATGGCATCAGCTTAGCTCATAGCAATCTCAAATTCCTGGGTTCAAGAGATCCTCCTGCCTCAGCCACCCGAGTAGCTGGGACTACAGGCATGTGCCACCATGCCCAGCTAATTTTTTCTATATACTTTTAGTTGGCCAATTAATTTCTTTTCTATTTTTTTTAGTAGTAGAGACGAGGTCTTACTCAGGCTGGTTTCGAACTCCTGACCTTGAACGATCTACCTGCCTCAGCCTCCCAGAGTGCTAGGATTACAGGTGTGAGCCACCATGCCCGGCAAACAAAAACTTTTTATGTAAAGGAATGAGAAATGCACTTTATTTCTGTGGCTTCCTCCTAAAAATGCATTATCCCAGTCAAATTACCAGAAAAACCATGAGACAAATCCCAATTGAGAGACATTTTTAAAAATACTTGATGAGAATTCCTCAAAATGGTCCAGGTCATCAAAAACAAAGTCTGGGAAACTTTCAAAGCCAAGACAAACCTAAGGAAACATGTGTTATACTGGTTAGGATCTTGGAACAGAAAAATGACATTAGCTTAAAACTAATAAATAATGTAGAGACTTTGGTTAATAATAAAACATATTAATATTGGTTCTTTAGTTGTGACAAAGGTACCATACTAACATAAGATGTTAACGTACAGGAAATTGATTTTAGAGCATATAGGATCTCTCTATACTATCTTTGCAACTATTCTAAAACTATTCCAAAATAAAAGTTTAATTAAAAATAAATGATTGCAAATAAATGATTTCTGATTCAATTAATTTACATTGAAAGGAAACAGAATGTGTAAAACATGAGTAGTAGTGTTAGGTAATCATACATTTTTTAACCTTTTACACTAAATATTTAACCCTATTAATTATTATGAAGAGAAGAATTCTTTAGTTAGTAGCAATTATTTAGATTTGTATAGCACATTAAAATGTTGAATAGAGTTTCACATAAATAAAACAAAACAACCAAAAAGCAAAGTTAGGGTATTATAAAATATATGTGCCTAATAATATATATTTTCTGGTAATTGTGTTAAGTAAGGAAATTTATACTATGCTTTATAAAAACACATTCCTGACAATTTCTCATTCAGTTTATATTTTTATACATCTTTCAGCTACAACAGAACCTAGCTATCAGTTCATCTTTTTCTCTTGCTCCTGGACACAAGCTTAATTATCTTGCATATAGATAATACTATATAAGTGAATCCTGATCAATAGAAAATGAATAGAAGTTTTTAGGTTTCAGTATGGTCCATAAAAATATCTCAGATGATGTTCTACTCCCTCTTTTCTTCTCCATTCTTGTTAGAAGAGAGATACCTACAAATCTAGAGAAAAGCCAGAAGATGGAACATTGGTTCCTTAATCTTCTTTAAAAAGATATGTGGGGACCAGGAACACACCCACTGTACTAAGTAAGGAAAAAAACAAATAAATAAAAACTTTTTTACGGTGTTAAACACTGAGATTAAGGTGGTTTTCTCTTTAGAGTAACTAGCATTATTTACCTTAAGAATTTCCCTTTTATGCTAATAGGAAATACTTCATTGACTATCTTATTAGAATTGATTTTTAATATGCCAGGAATACAGATATTTTTTAAAAAAGTGTATGTACAATCCAGTCATGGATTCAGTTTCCATGTAAAAAGTAGCCAATAATTTCCTTTATTAAAATTTAGTAATTTTTTGTTTTTGATTAAACTTGTTCTAAACCTGTTAGCAATTTCACAATCTTTTTCCAAAAATAAAAGGAATATGCATAAAAAATACAATTTCAGCAAAAACATTAAAATTATAAAATTAAACTAATGGATATTAGTTTAGATTTGGATTCAGTTTGGATTTGGATTAAGTAATTTGATAAAGTTCTTGTTTGGAATTGAGTAGAAACGAGTTGTTAGCAAACTGTGTTCCAAGAGAGAAAATAAAGGTTCTTCTCTGTTTTATACTTCTCACAACCACTATATTCATTCATTTATGTATTATGGATGGTTGTTTCCACCATAACTACAGAATATATATTCTGTTTGCTTGCAAACCCTGATGCTTGACTATCTGGCCCTCCATAGAAAACATTTGCTGATCTCTGGTGTAGAAAATGCTCAAACAAGGACCTTTATTTAAGCTAGTTGTGGCTTTCTGTTGATATATTTTTTACCTAGTAGGTCTTTATTGGTACTAACACATATTTTCATAAAGTAATGTATATCATCTTCATTTTTATAAGAAATAGATGGATCTACCCCATTGTACTAGATTAAAGTCATAATTTATACCAGAGTAAAATTTATACCAGAAAAATAATACATAAATTTATAAATATATGCATTTATGAATTGATTTTTCAAAATCTAAAGAATATGTACAGTAACTGTTTACTAAATATGTGAATTTGGAATATATGGTGCTTTGAGTGTTTTTTAAGAATTTAGTTTAAGTATTTTGCCATTTGTAGAAGTTACGTTTTATTGCTAGTTATAACTTATTAAAACACATATTAGAGAAAGGAACTTATCCAAAGAGTGGATTATGATTATATAGTTGATTTATAAAGAAAATAGAAAATAATTAGAAAAATTTTTGTGTAATTACTTCTGTAGAGCTGAATAATGCAGTGTTTTTACGCGTGTTAGTTTCTAGTACTATAATTACAATCCTCCACAAATAGCATAGCTTTCACACACAATGTTATTAATGCTATACATCTTTTTTGAAATCTGTAGGATATTTTTGCTTGTTTTAGAAAAAGAACAAATAAATACAGAAAATAATTCCTTTAATATAATCCTTTCTCCGTAAAGTGTTCATCCACTGCAGTTAACAAGTGGTTAGTTTTGATTTAATCTGGGCTCCCTTCCAAATTCTAAACTTACAAACTTAACCTTGCAAATAAACTTCAAATATGCATTTTTTTCAGAAGGCAGCAGGTTATTACTTTGTTTTCTATTTACTATAAACTGAATTTTTCTTCAGAAATGAACATAAACTTTTAATGTGTACAAATAGGTTTTCAACTTTCCCTGCTATAGTTAATTACTGTGATTTACCTAAAGAAAATTTCATGCTTTTTGTATAAGAAAGGAAGATATGGACTGCATGTATATCCTCCATGTTTGGATACAAAATTTTCTCTTTTTGGTTAAAATAAGATATAGAGAAGTCATTCCCAGTGAACACTGTTGTCAGGAACCAATTTTCATGGTCAATCTTTGCTTTTTGAGGTACCCTTTATTAAAATCCTCTATTCCCAATGGTTCCAAAAATGAATTGTGGTAAAAATTGATATTGCTATGTAAA